CCGTAATACAAAGTGAAACCAGTAGAACTTTTTATTGCCTACCTGCAATGGGTGACAATGGTTGAATAAACTTTTGGCTCTCAAAATGGTATCGGTGCCCTATTTGTTGGTACTCGCCTTATCGGTATCGGTAAGTAGTGCAACACTACTTTCCACGCTATAAGGCTTTACGTTACAGCACAGTTAAATACAAAATATAAAAATGTATAGAATAAGAACACTTTGGCTGCAAAAATAGATTCTGAATTTTCCTTGGATTATTTTAAAGGTCAAGCCAAAAGTTTAGGACTGAACAGCCTCCAAACTTTACATGTATTTAATGCCTAAACAAACATGTTTAAGTGCCGACACCTGCAGTCCATGTGGGGTTTGGCAGCATCTACAGCTTCATGTTTCCCTCATGATTTCAAAGGTCATTAAATGCCTGTGTAAATTATTTACATTCTGCAGCAACCACCCCTGTAGACTGTAGGTGCCCTGATGGAGGATCTAGAGCTGTGGTTAATGGTGGGAAAGGTCCCGAGGGCCCTTCTTTGTCCTACCGCACAGGGTTTCCCTGAACTTGGAGGTGAGCTTCTCAATAACGCCATAGGTTTCCACGTAGAAGACGTGTTCCTCCAGAGGGAGACTGGCCATCAGTTGTAGGGAGCGCATGTCTGCACGGTCCACGCCCACAGCGTAGATCTCTATTTCCGTGGCACGGGCCTCAGCAGACACTCCTTCCACCTGATCCTGAGGTCTCCCATCAGTTACGATGATGGCAACTTTGGCGATGTTCCTGGAGCGAGACCGGGCTCCAGACTGCTCAGTGAAGGCTTCTTTCATTGCTGTCTTGATGGCCAGGCCAGTCATCGTACCGGTCGCCAAGGGCTCAATTCGGGCGATGGCTTTCTTCAGGTCAAGTTTGTTGAAATGGTCTTTGAGCAGAAACTCTATCTTGACTGTGCTGGCATAGTTCACCACGGCCACCCTTGTTGCATCTGAGCCTACATCTAGGGTGTCCACCATGTTAGCCAGGAAGATTCTGACCTTCTCAAACTCTGCAGGACGAACGCTGCGAGAGCTGTCAATGATGAAGACCAGGTCCAGGGGGCGGCTCCTGCACGGGGAGTCTGTCTCTGGTGATCAACCAAATCATGGCAAAAATAAGTCCATTTGATAATCGAAGAAAAAAGTGGGTTTTAGTAATGAAGAGCATCGCCCACAACTGAAAACAATGAGATGCCCAGCATGTTCCCAGATGAACTAGACGAAAGGATGGTGCATCTCGTTGTTGGTTGTTCAAAAATGATCATGTATGCTTAATAACATACAGTGCATCATTTCAGAGTTACAACAATTCATATCACTTTGATTTAAGTAAGATATGCTTGACATTGCAACATTAGACATGGGTATTAGGATTCCTGCCTGACCTTCACGTACATTCTGCAGTAAAATCTGTTGTTCAGTCAGATAAGTGGTAATCATTTGTGTGGACTGGCAGTAAATCTTTTAAGTCATGGTGGACTCTTATTTGCTGAATTGTTTTCATTCAGCCTAAATGGAGGGTCTTCTAGCCTGAAGAATGTTTTTAAGATCAAGGCAGAATATTTTATTGGATTTAAACCCAGATTTTGACAAGGCTTCTCTAATGCTGTCTTGAGGTGATTTTGGGAGGTAGCCCAGTTCTGGAAGGTCACATAATGTGAGATTGTTTTAGATAGATTTATTTTTTCCATTAATACATGAAATATTAATTGTGAAAACTGCATTTTGGATTTTTTTTATTATTATTATTTTATGAAACATTGAAGCATATAAGAAGTAAAATCAAAATAAAATTATATTTTTTACATTCCCGTTGCTTTTTAAGAGAGATAATTGATTACTGACTCAGTGTGTGATCATACCATTAAGGGGAAGGGGCACGTTCTATGAATGACCAAAGGGGAAAAGTACATCTGACCTTGAAAATATGGAGGAGATTCAGTCGGGTTGGAAAGCAATCCTGCCCGGTAATATTCTACCTGTCTCCACAGGACTGATGGTGGTGATGAGCCCGCTTTGGGTACTGACCAGTTGCGTCCAGGGAGCAGGGGTCTCCACCGGCGACGCAGTGGGCATGATGAATGTCACTGGAGCCACTCCTGTTGCAGGGAAGGTGGGCTGTTTTGTAGATTCTGGTAGATTTGGGCGGACTACAACAGGTGCCGCTGTCACCAGGTTTGTAGGGCATGAAGTTTTCAGTCTGTACGGCCATGGGCCTTTGATTCTGTGCTGGGGATGCGGCTGAGCAACTGGTGGAGATAAACCTTTGTATATGTGATGTGAATGTGGTGGAGCTGGCACATTGAACCTGTGTCCATAAGGCAGCATGGGGACCAGGGGTCTGTGGTAAGTCACTGGTGGAGATAGAGGAACAGGTCGATACACTACCGGTGGAGGGATCCTCGGTGCCTGGTAGTGGTAGTGATACCTTCCTCTATACGTGTAATCACTTCTGTGATCTACAGGCCCACCAGAAATGAGAAGTGATACAGAACATTAGTAGGTTGGAAAAAAGACAAAAATTAAAGTTTTGTAAGTTAATATTTTAGTAAACACTGGTTAAATGAACAGCAATCAGTTTTTTTGTTGTTGTTTTTTTGAAAGAAATACAGACACATGATTAGTGGAAGCAAATATGAAAAACTCTGGAAGGCTCTGGAGGTGTTCCAAACAAGCAGTGATCTTATAATAAATTGCTTGTAAAACCTCCTGTCAGAAATGTAATCAACATGCACAAAAGATTTAATAACATTTTAAAAAACATCAGTTTAAACATTTAATTGATGTTGTAATATTCATCCACAGTAGCCTTACACAGTGTTTTATAAAAAAATATCCCCTTTTTACAAGATGGATCCAAAGGTCTAATTATATTTCATTAACACTTTATATGTCAGAAAAAAGAAGGACTTAGTAGTGATGATAAAGGGGTAAAATATATATACATTTTTTTTTTTTTACATGGCATGCAGTTGCATCCAGCTCTGGCGCGTCTGTATAGGGCTCCACTCTTAACTGAAGATGAGCCTCAGCCAGTTTCTTCAGTTATTTTATATTTAGCACCATCCATCCTCCCGTGAATTTCAACTAGCCTCACTGTCCTGGTAAAGAATTTCCATCCCTGCAGCATTTTGTTGCCTATAGCATATTTTACTGTATACATTGTTTTGCTACATAAGACATTTTTGTGTGTTGGCCAAAAGTTAATCTAAACTCATCAGATATCCATGACAGAAGGACTTCTTATGGCTTTTTCTCCACCCATTAATGTCAGACAAGGAAATTATTAGTTCTTTCAACAGCTTGTCCCACCTGAGCTGTTGATCTCTGCAGCTTCTCTCAAACTAGTTACTTTCTGTGAATAATGCTTTCCTTGTCTAACCCATTTTTTGTCGTCTTCTAGTTGTGCCATATTTTGTTTTTGGATGAAGCACCAAAGAGTGCTCCCTGAGATGGTAAAATGTTGGTATCGTTTCATTTTTCTATTTATGGAATAATGTTTTGTAATTCTGGTTTGTTTAGACACTGAAAAATGTTAAATATAATCCACATTATGTATGTATATATATATAAATCAAATTAGAAATGGTACAAAATACTTCTAAATCTTTACATTATATTTTCATTCAAAGCATTGTGTATTGAATACAAATTAAAGTAACACATTGCTTCTCAAAAGTAAAACAAAACACAAATCTCCAATTGGCCAATAGTGAAATGGTGCCTAAATTCACCAGTGAAACTAAATAATTTTAAAAAATGGCTTGGCTAATATTTTCTTTATGTATTTCATAAACACTGAAGTCAACAAATTATATAGTTTTACACTATTTAAATGACTTCTTACAACAAAAAATTATTTGCTTATAAGTGAGTATTGCTTGTTTTACACAAGCTAAAGCTGGGTTGAAATTAAAAAGGAAATGAACAGCAGAAGCCCGTTTTCCTTTGTTACAGGTGTCATAAAGTAAATTATAGTTTTATAACAAATGTAACTACAATCTAAAAGCAGAGCTTTTGAAGAAGAAAAGATTCTTAAACAAACTTACTTGCTGGATTCAGAGTCCTGAACATTGGTTGACCATTTTGTCTGGTCTGAGCGTAACTTTGTGCAGTTATCAGCTGAGGATCTCCTGCTCTGAGGTGGTATGTGGCATGTGCAACTTCAGAAAACAGCAGTAAAACAAAATATAGAAGGCTCCACATGAAAGGGTTCATCTTTAGATTATTTAGCAGAGTAACGTCTGGGTGTACCCTCACAGGAATGGTTATCAGGATACTCCTGCTCTGTTCTGGAGGGGGGACTGCACACCTCCAAATATGAGATCTCAGGAGACACGTGTCAGGCTGTCCAACCAATACAAAGGTAGGAAAGAACTAGCAGGGTTGGGTGAACGTATACTTGCAGAGGAGGGTCTAGAAAGGCAGTTTTTGGGGGGGGCGTTTGTAAGTATGTGGCTGATACATTTGCTTATTCTTCTGTTTTTCAATCTTATATATATATATTAATTTATTTTTTATTTTTAACTAGTATTATATTGTTTTTGAAAAACTCTTAGAAAATGATAAAGGCAATTCTGCATTAACAAAATTATTTTATCTATAATAATTACTCCTGGCAGCGAATTTCTAAAAGCCATTTTATTTTATATTTTTCCAAAAAATATTGTTTTAGTCTAAATAATTAACCTTAAAACTCACATGTAAAAGAACTGCAAATAATTCAAAGAGAAAGTTGCTCTCCCCGAACTACAGAGAGTTCTTTATATGGTCAGCCAACACAAAGTAGAGCCCATTTATCTGTTAGAGTGGACAGCAAGACTAGGTGAAGAGTTTGTAGAAATAGAAAAGTCCACAACAAGAAAGATTAAAAACTCAGGACTAAAGGTTACAGGAGGGAAACAAAATCAAAAGATCTTTTCATTGTTCTGACACATTTATTTAAGTCAACTGCTTTTTCACAGGGATAAAATCATTACTAACAAAGTAATGGGAAGATGGCGTTGATAAGCATGCAATAACTAATGATCACAAGGCTAGCTGTTCATCTTCACGTGTCAGGCGATGAAAGAGGCAGAGAAATGATCCAATACTGCTCTCCTTCATTTCCAGCTGGAAAACAAAAACTCAGCAGCTTTGCTCAAACACCACAGCAGCAAAGCGGTGAGGACACTGTGAACCGTACCACTGCAAAGCTAAATAAATACAGACAAAAAAGTGCGAAAGACTCAAATCAAAGCAAAGGCGGAATACTTTAGGTCTTAACAAACAGCAGAAAACTGCAACACAACTAAACAATAAGAACTATAATAAGCAGATTGTCATAGTTCAACAATTCTTCAGTACTTATATATTGATCTATTAATAAAATGGTGCTGGATTTATGAGCAAATTTCAAGCATTTTTTTTCACATATCCCTTTTACTAAGACTTAAAAAAGGATTTGAGGGACTAGGGTAGCAAGGCTAGAGGGGTTCCTTCAAATGTTCTTCCACATTCATCCATCCATTATCACGCGTTATAACTCTCCCACCATTTTTCCATCACATCTCCAGGATGCTCTATAAACACTCTAAAGAAATACAGCGGAGAGATTGAAGAAAATATCTTTAAAGACCTCACACAGACACAGAAGGTTCAGAGGGGAATAAGGGCTTCATGGTGTTCAGAATGGGTTAGACGGGGCATGTAGGAATGCATATGATGGCTGGGGGCGCATGTGTGTGTCCTGGTGACACGGCTGGTGCTTAGGCTGGCATGTAAGGGGGAGGAGGGTCCTTCTCTGGCATCTTCATCGCCATCTCATAGGTGGGCAGGATGTACTATAGAAGAAAAGGAAAGATGGTAGTTGCATTTATTAAGTTTTACATTTAAAATATTTACTATCAAAGAATACTGGCTTGAGAAACTTTATGGAATGCCAATTTAAATAAAATATATCAACTTTTTTTAATCCATTAACAAAATTAGTGCTAAAACAATTGGATTAATCATGATTAAACGATTATTGAAAAAAAAATAGTCAACTAATTTAGTAATCGATTAATCGTTTAATTGAGTATAGACTGTAAAATGTGCCTTTATCTGACAGAACTAAGCACTTAGAGCTGTACCTACATAAAATAAAAAAGAAATTATAAATTTTATTTAATTTCGCAAGAAATCCTCTTTAAGGAACTTTTGGCTAACCGATTATTAAGTGAAAAAAATGATCTAGAGATTAAAGAATTTGCAGAAAAACCATTAGTTACAGCCCTGATATATATATCTGTAAAAGAAGAAAACCTTTTTTCTAATAGCTAGGTACATGCAAAATGCTGAAGATGACTTTTTAAATCTAATGATAAAACAGAGTTGATCGTATTCAGGGACATGGACTAAACACTAACTGATAACTTTCAAACCATTGCAGTTGTTTTTATTTCCTTCAAGCCTAAAAAAAAAAAACTATCATTCAAGAAAAAAAAAAAAACTATCCATAACCCTAACCTGTATTAGTTCTAATAAATTGTTAAAACATGATTTTAAATATGTCTCAGTTAATTAAAAAGATTGGAATTCTGATTAAATAATAATAAACCACCTTTTCTGTTATGGGTCAGTTGTTTTGTGCATTAAACCCATCCCTCAGAGGGCAGTGAACAGCATGCAGTTTATTTTTGATTTTGTGTGGAATGGGACCCTGCCTTTGTAAATGTCAACTGTCCAAAACTTTATTTAGAATTAATTCAGAATTTTAAAATGTTTTAATTTAATTGAAATTTAATTGCCCCTATTTTGAGCTTTAAACTCTAAATACTTGAGCATCATTTAGTTTAAAAAACAAACAACCTTTTTCCTAAATATTGATGAACCATATACTATATATTACATAAACAATACATTTGTCATAGTGCAAAAAACATAAGCATTAATTTATTTGAATTATCACTGATGTTAAATAATCATGAAATGACCTAACAAACATTTTTAGATCAGACAACAACCTTCATCATGGTAACTCAGACTGTTCTTAATAGGACAGACCTCCTCTATGTGGATAGTGGGCCACCTGCTGGCTTAATAAATATTACACCAATGAAAATGCCAGGTTATCAGCATGAAAACCACTTCCTGCTCATTCATTCTGATTTGAACTCATACATACCTGAGGAGGGGTCTCAAAAGCAGGGTACACAGCAATCTCGGGCATGTTTCTGTTGTTGATGTACTTGTAGCAGTTCCACACGCAGTTGATCAAATAAGCCTGGAAGCAATGCATACAGAGGAATACTTATAGGCACTGGGTTGCTTACATGCCAACTGGTCTTATCATTCACAGAAGAGCACAGGGTCTTTTATTTGTATTTTTTAACTGTTAGAATCACCTTGAGAATGATCAGGAAGGCAAAGAACACCAGCACAAAGAGGAGGAGGCAGCTTGAGTTCAGGGACAGCAGATAATCCTTATAAGGGAAATCCGGCTGAGTAGAAAGAACAAACAGTGTTTTGTAGTCAGTGAAGTCTTGCAATATAAATTCAGTTCACACAATTATCCAAGTTACACTCACACACTCAACGGCAACACCAACCAGCATTACTCGGACTTGTGTAGTCAAAGGCAGCTGCTACTAATTTCTAGATAAAGAAATTTGATATATTTTTACATCCATAAATGTTCATTTTAACAGCGTCCTCCTTTAGGAATGCTGTTTGTGTGTAAGAGTGCTAGGACTTTGAATAATTATTTTAATGAACCCAAGGCCTGACAACATAAACAGCTTTCTACTAAAGATGCCAGCAGTGCCAGCCTTTGTAATTACTGTCTATTGAATGTTAATAGTTTGTTGCATTTACTGCCACCCATTTAGAGGCCAACAATAACTGTGCAATTATTGCCCAGTAAACCATCACTCTCAATGTATCGCAAAAATATTCAGAAAACTGAAATTTATTTGATGAAGTTTATCCCAAAGGCTTAAAAGTGTGGCAGAACATTTGTTTTCAACCTCATGTACATTGGCAACCCTAAATAAAATCCAGTGAAATTATTTCCCTAAACTCTCCGTATTTAATGTAGTAAAAGTATAGAGTTTGTAAATTTTTTTAACTACTTGAACTGATCTATCTTCCTTCTAAAATACAGGACTGGCGTTACCATGCTATGAGATTGCTTTTCTTTAATAATGACTGGTCAAAGTTGATAAGTTACATGGATAAACTAGTCAAGGACTTAACTGGGACAGTTTCATAGTGCAACAGGACATCAACAACACGAAGGAATTCAAGGGGTATGAAAACCAATTGTTGCTGAGCATAAAATAAGCATACATTTACAGACAAAAGGGATTATCTAAAGAATAAAAATCGTGTTTTTTATTCATGAAACTACAAGAGAAAGACTGTCATTGCTTGACAACAATGAGGAGTTCCTGCTTAGGACTAAGTGAAATATCCACTGTTGCTAACATAAGGAGGACTGAGAGAGTCAACATTCAGAGGACAATGTTGGGACTGACCAGCTGCTCCAGGTAGTCCCGGATCCTAGGCAGGTAAGTGAGAGAACTGATGGCCACCAGGCAGCTCAGAGCAAAGTCAAACAGCTGGTAGCAGAAAAATGGGATGAGCCATCCATCACGGTGCTAAGAAAGGTGGACAGAGTTAAAAGAAAATAAGATACAGCAGAAATCTGGACAGATAACTATAGGAATTAGAAGAACCACAGAGCTCATTTTCATCCAACTTCTAAACACATTGTATAATCTGATTCTTACAATGAACAAATACATGTAGATGTATATTCTATTCAATTCCCAAACCTTTTTTTTTTTCTTTATCATTTGTAATATTTTAAAAGGTGAATGCATGTTAGGTTTATATGATGTTGGAAGAGATACCATTAAAACAAGCTTGGTGGTTCTTCCTTTATGGACTAAGCAAGTCTGGTTTTAATCCAAACTTAAACTAATAACACTTGGGCTGGGAATGAAGCCCCCCCCCCAATCACTCAAACTAACATTACAGTGGTTTACAAAAATATTCATATCACTTGACCTTCTCCACAGTTTTTCAACTGACAACAAAAAGCAAGTATATTTTTTTGGAATCTTATGTTACAGACCAACACAAAGTCCAGTTTGCAGTTCGCCAGAAGCCATGTTGGAGACACAGCAAGCATGAATCTAATCTTACTGAACTTGAGCTGTTTAAACAAAGAATGCTAAAAAGATTAGAATAGAAATTTTCTTTATTGTTCCACAATGGGGAAATTCTGGTGTTACAGCAGCTAAAGATTATAGAAAAATAACTAATGTACAGCTATGGACATTTCTACAGAAATGGACATTTGAAAATAGCAGCAACATCAGAGATGTGCAAAATGACAGCAGCATGTTATTTAACTGACTAAGATTTAAAAAAAAAACTGTGCAAAATCAGCATGAATGTAACAATTTATTAAGGTTGTTGGGAACAGTGGTGGTTATAAAGTCTTACAGCTGCTGGGAGGAAGGATCTGTGATGACGCTCCCTGGTGCATTTAGGATGCAGCAGTCTGTCACTGAAGGAGCTCTGCAGTTCTGCAACAGCTTCATGCATGGGGTGGGAGACATTATCCAACAGGGATGTTAATTTAGTTAGCCTTCCTGATCAGCTTATCCAGCCGCTTTCTCTCAGCTACAGATAACCTACTGCAACAGACAGCTCCATAGAAGATGGCTGAGGCCACCTCAGAGTCAGAGAAGGTCTTTAGAAGCGCCCCCTGTACTCCAAAAGACCTCAATCTTCTCAGCAGGAAGAGTCTGCTCTGACCTTTCTTATTCAGAGCCCCCGTGTTGCGAGTCCAGTCCAGTTTTATTATAGTTTAGCTTTTTTGTTTGTTATTTAGGTGAACACCTAGGTACTTAGAGTCCACTATCTCAATGTCCCTTCCCTGGATGTTCACCAGTGTCAGTGGGGAGGACCTGCTTCTGTGGAAGCCCAACACTAGCTCCTTGTTTTTCCCTGCATTAATCAGAAGGTGGTTCTGCTGGCACCAGACCACAAAGTTCTGGCTCCACTGCCCGTACTCTGAGTCGTCCCCACCTGTGACTGGCTAACTATGGCAGAATCAATTCAGAAAAAAAATCAGTCACTAGACCTGCAAAGCAGATAGAGACATGCCCTAAAAGACTTGGACTATAATTAAAGCAAAAGGTGGCTGCACAATCCTATTTTCCTATTTGAGATAAAAATAGTGTATAACCTTCCTCACAATGTGATACCACTTTGTCAGCTTTCACATAAAATCCATTTAAACCTATTGCTTGTGGTTGTTCAGTGACAAAATGTAGAAAAGTTCAAGGGTGTGAATACTTTTTCAAGCCACTGTATAGTCCTCATATCTTTAAATCTGGATATGGATGCCACTCTAAACTAAAAGGGTTTCTAATGCACTTTATTGGAAAGTTGTCAGAGCACAGCTGAAGTGTGACCTTTAGACAGACAGGCCTCATGATCGCAGCGAGCCGTCATGAGTCATACTTTAACTGTGCAGTCACAGCTAGCAGTTTAATGAAGGTTCATGTGACAAAGCTATCAAACCTGTCGCTCTTGTTGCCATCAAGCTGGCCTGTGAGGTAAACATAACACGCAGTGAAAACACAAGCATGCTGTGGTACAAGCCATCATAACAACCCATTCTAACTCCAGTTTAAAAAGCTATATTGCATCTTATTTCTCAGACATGATGCTACTTTTTAAACACTCTAAAGCTACACATTTTCCATTAGTGTATTTTAAGATTACATTGTCTCCTGATAACCCCTAATAAAGTTTAAAATCTACCCCCAGCTTACAGTGATGGCTCCATACACCATCATGGCACTGATGGTGAGCATCAGCAGGGAGATGGCAAATCCCACACAGGCATTTTCTGCAAAAGAGAAAGAGATACAGTCGGTAAGTCCTGGTAACCCTATAGCTCTAATGCATAGTAGAGGTCACAAGTCGATGCAAAATGCATATTTGCCTTTGCTCTAAAGAGGCAGCTGGGATTTGCATACGCTGATAAGGCCATCTCTCAGTTTTAAATGGGAGGCTCCGGGGAGCATTATGTCGATTGCGTTCATCAGATTAAGTGAATATGAAGGAAACGACCTGAGATAATTAAATGGTCTACCTTTCATATCCTCTTCTCTCTCATCACTTATCCTTTCACTTTGTTAACTCTTGCACTGGGGCTGCTTGTGCCAGAGCTGCTGCAGCAATGCAGTCTGGATGAGCTCTTTGCTAATCTGTAGCTTGGGCAAAATAATCTGTACATCAGCCTGAGCCTGTCTGACACTGCTTATAGCTTAGGAAAATAAAAACAAAGTCTACTGGAGCTCATCATTTGAAGCTACTGTAAGAATAAACTCAGAATATATATAAGAAAAGAAAACTGTTACTGTGTTTAAATGTAAGAAATCCATTAAAAAAAAATGTTTACAGGGATTTCAGGCAAAGCTGGACAAAATTATCCTGTATTTCTGGAAAATCCAAAGGAAAAAAGTGAGACCCCATCGATGGAACAATGCAAGGCTTCACACTGCAATCCAATATTTTCTCTTTCTGCATATGGGTTCCTTTGAAAAAAAAAAATTTTTTGTCTTAATTATTTTGTTTTAACAAAGTTTAACTATTGGATTCCATGATAATCAGATTTCACATACCCATTGAAATTTGAAAAATGACTTAATGTTTTTAATGTCAGTTATCAGACATTTTTAGCCTGTTCAAGTAAATTCTCCAGATCCCGATATTTAACAAAATACAGAACTGTTACATAGAATTTGTTTGCTTGTACACACTACAAGGTGATCAAAAACCAAAAAGAGTTTGGAAAAGATATGGACTAATAAACAAAAGAGAGGCAACAATGTCAAACTCCCTTCTGAAATTTAAACTTTGAAAATAAAATATTAATTAGAAGCAATAAAGGAACCAATGTTTGCTATATAACACTAAGAACCTTTATGTTCCTGAATCAATAATGTAATCTGGAAAACCACTAGTTCTACAGATCTATGACCTTTGATTCAAAACAACATGGATTCAGAGCATCCTAACGAAAGATAACAGCATGTTTGATGTTCATGTACACACTTAAAAGGCAGGTTTCAACAACTGCATTTGGTTAAAATATATTTTGTTTATAAATCCAGTCTTTTGATAGTATTAATGATATTTTCTTTTTCAAAAACTACTTTAGAAAATACAGTTTTGGTTATTTTGGTTTATATTTTCTGTATAAAGAATCACCGGTGCTAATTTCCAGATTATATTCAAGTTCACTTCCAGCAGGTTAATCTGACAAACACTTAGGGCAATACCTTGACTGGTCACTTGCAGGACTCTGAATTTTCATACCTTAACTTGGGACTTGGCTCTACACTTCAGTGGAAAGAGTTGAGAAAAACTTGGCTGATCTGCTTAATGGCTCTATGCTTCAGCGAAGGTTTCATAAATAAAGTTTCAATTCTTTTTTCATTTAAAAATTCAAAGGAACTTACCCCATATTTAAACAGTATTGTTTTCACTATGGGTTTACAGATATTTCTACACAAAAAGACATAAAATATTTATAGTAAAAATTTTTGTAAGACAATTATTCTTTTTTTCATCTTACCAGACATCCGATCGGAAGCAAAGTAATGGTCGATGACCTCATACTGCAAATCGATGGTTGGTACGTTCTCTGGGTGCGTCACGGCCACCGTCAGCAGAATCCCCATCAACAGGTTAACCACCTGTATAAAGGTAAGCAGGGAATCACACCAGAGTTGCACTAAACCTAAATAGTGATAAAGTTGAGTTCCCTTTAAAAGTTGTATAAAGTCTAAGATGCGGACCAAGTATGGAGAGGAAAAAAAGTACTGATAAGTTAAATTTCCTCTCTAAAAAAATATATATATATATGTTATGTATATATATATATATATATATATGCAAACAAAACCTCCAGTCCAATAGTTAGCCAAGGCAGTTTTAAAAGTATTTTTGAAGGGACAAATGATAGTAGGGTTAAAAGATAAAGAAAGGAATGGACAGATGATGGGCAAATACTAGGCAGATAGGTGCAAGAATGCAACCGTTCAACACTAGGATCGGGAAGGAATCCTTCAAATAAATAAAGTTTTCCTTTATTCTACTTTATTATTAATGTACTTATTGACCCTGGAAATACTAAAGGCAAATTATATACCTTTCCAAAACTGTGGATGAACTAATAAATGTATGAAAACAAGCTAAAAGTTTCCTGTAGAGGACAATAACAAGAGGTGAACAGATAACATTATTTTAATGGCGAAAACTTTCCATTTTAGTTTTGTACATAAACATAAATAATGCGGAACTCAGAGATGTTGCACTGCACAGCTGTCTTTTTGTGTATGTGTGTGTGTGGCAGCGCATTCTTATCATCGGACAATCGTTATGCAGAAGTTAGCTAAATTTTGAGTTAATAGATTCCAATGTCAAAGTTTTGACACTTGAAGTTTTATAAAAAGTCTGAAAAGGACATAATTTGTCAATTTCCTCTCCAAAACTTGCATGCGCTGACGGAGCCAAGAGACACACCAAATAAGTTAGCTAGCTATAGCTAACCTTAGCATCTTGTTAGCATCGCTTCGATATAAACCAGATTTATTAACGGTCGGCCGTGGAGCCTAGCATTCTTTTAAGAAAACAGGACGAAAGAAAAACAATCATAGCCCAACAATAACCAAATATAAACTGTAACGGTTATGTAACTCCTCAATTATGCAAACTTAACAAGCGAACGACGCAGGCTAACGCTGGCGTATTGACCGTTATCTAGAATCATCTTACGCACCATATACCATGTTCCCAGGATGATGGTCCCGGTTCGAACATGGCAACACCCGCAGCACCGGGTGGTGTACAGTCTATCACGGCTTGGCTTAAAATGATGCATGTCCTCTACGAGCGTAGGGAGAAACATCTGTAAAGCTGGCAGGAGACGTCGGAAAAAATTCTTCTCAGTATCAACACCCAGCGAGCGACCGTGTAAAAACGCCCACCTCTTCCCTCGACGACCTGCGCACACGGTGGATGAAAACAAACGCTCTGTCAAGAGTACTGGGCGGAGCCAACAGATTTGATTGGCATGTTTACTAACCAATGGCAACGAAGGATTTCCCAAACATGGAAAACACAAATCTAAAAATAATTTTTAAACTGAAGAAACAAAACAAGAAAACATTGGATTTAAAATAAAATCTAAAACAAATTAAGAAACGAAAACAGAACGGACTAAATCATTAAAAAAAGAAATAAAACATCACAAACAGCCCCAACCTTCACCTTTTCATTGTAGTTAATCAATAGTTTATTCGGATCCTAATAAAAGACTTTAGATGTTGTTAGTGGTTTTAATAGCTCTAATGTATGTTTTACATATTAATAAAATAGACTAATGATTTCCCATGCACTCATTTTTTTTCATTTGCAAGACAAACAAAAAATGCATTAAAAAGATAGTTTAATTGTAATTCATTAAAAAAACAAAATCAATATGTATGGCTGTAAGATAAAAAAGGAGAAACTGTGCATACATACCAGAGCACCAAATTAGTTTTTATTACAGTAAATAAAATGTTTTCACACTGTCATCATTAATGTGAATGCCATTTTGATTTGTGGATATTAGTTCTTCCTGATATTAGTTCTTTACTGCGCATAGCTTGGTAATACAACTAACCCTTTCAGCAATTAAAATAAATGAAATATATGCTGAATTTTTCCTTAATTCTGCCAATTTACACAATGTACAATCCACACATTTATTTGGGTTACTTAACCTTAGGAAATTGCAAATAATATTAGGAATAAGGATGATTAAAAAAAAATCTCTTATATAATGCTTGAGAAGGTTATGACAAGATAATTGACCTCTCTTCTAATCAAATGTGATAGAGTTTATTCACGTTAGCTGGTATCCAGGCATAGGCCTAGCTTTTAGATAAAACATAACATTGTAATAAGAGTCCCATTGGAGCCATTTCTAAAGTTAAATTTTTCAGTTCTTTTTTTCTAAAAAAAAAAACCCATTGTGTTTCATATACTAGTTTATTTATATGGGGATAGGTGTCAACAGATATTTGCAGACATTTGAGTTTACAAAACAAGCTACATTTATGGGGATTTTGATTACATAAAACATGCCTTTTAATACACAGCAATGCTCATCAGTTAAAACAAAATACAGTATCATTACATGTATTTTAAAAGACTGGCAATAATTTAAGAGCACATAGCTGAACTGTCTAAAAATATGCGCAAATTCTTTTTGTTTGTTTTTAAGACCAATCCTGGTTGATTTTGGGATCCTTGTCTCATTGTTTATCTGTCCAAATTTTAACAACTACCAACAAAAAATTAAATCTGCACCAAAATCTACATCATAAAACATTAACGAATTTTTAATTGTTCATTTGTAAAACTCTGATTTCATCTTGTGATGCTTTGCATGCACTTCAAAACTGGTCTTGGATTAATACAATAGGTTAGCATTAATCCTCTAGAATGGACTTAACTTCAGTCCTTTTTGACAAATACTTAGGAAATTCTTAATGGATTTTGTCAGAAAACAAACAAGCTGCTATGAGTTGTATTATTATTTGGTAAGAATGGTCAAAATATGACTAGCATGATGCCAGAAGCTTTGTGATTGCTTCAAAAAGAACAGATTTCTCAGCACATTGCAAAATGCTGTTTATCCAAATATTAGCATCAAGCTTGCAAGTATATGGTGTAAGTTGAAAACACAAATCACCAAAGATTTGATGTTGTGTAGTATATTCTTGTTTCTAAAAATGACTGAAATCAGGTTTGGTGTATATGGATCTCAATTTAAGACCCACGGTGGCTGCTTGATGCAATCTACAAATGCAGCTAATGCTGCATTACAACTTACCAGCTCATAGATCATCTGCTTGTTTAACCATTTCTTTTCCTAAACTGAGCTACCTGTGGAATTACCTTTTCAAACACAGAAAAGATGGATCAATGCTTCTGTGTTGCTTTTTTTGTGTGTGCCTCTGTCTTCTTGAACTCCCAGTTGACCTTGGCAGAGGGCCACTCACATTGAGCCTGGTTTTGCTGGAGGTTTCTTCCACTTCATGGAGAGTTTTTCCTCCCCAATGTCCCTGCATATATGCTCTGTGTGGGGGATTGCTGCAGTCAAGGTTATAATAATAAATCATAATGCAAGTGAATATCTACTGTTGCTACATGCTAATCCAAGAGAAGTGAACCCTGCAAAGCCAACGAGTCAATGCAATCTGCGGGGTTTCCTTAGATAGAAAACTTTTAACCAAGCTGGATGATTTGATTGGATTGTCTCTATTAAGCATCTACATATGACTTTGGTTGTGAATCAGCACCATATAAACAAACTGAATTGATTGTACATTGATGGAACATCCATAACATGGTCCTACTTCAGGTTATACTGCAGATATTGTCTCTTTATCTATTTGCTGGAAATACTGTATCCACAGGACGGATAGATGTATGATAGATAGAATTTCAAATTAGTATTTTGTCATAACTACTCTAAAATCCACATTCAACATTTACAAAAAAAATTTGTGGATTTTTTCTAATGCCATTCTAAGTGGCATGCCTTTAATTGCTATAAGCAACGCAAAAAAAAAACACGATTAACAGATACAATGGCTTGAAAACATAAATCGGTGTGTAGGTGATCTAAATGTGTGCTCCCTAATGAATAAAGTTAGTGAAACTAAATGACATTTTCAACGATAGAATTTATTAGCCAGCTATTCATACAAATGTCAAATTTTGTACTAAGAAACAGTTCTGCTTGCCTTTTTTGAGTCTTAGAGATACTTACTATGCATCTTTCCTAAATTCAGTTATTGGACCGAAACATTTCCAGAAGAATCCACTTTTGAATTCAAGGACCAGAAAAATACCTTCAACCTTTAAAGGTTCTAACTCAAGCTACCAATCACCATTGCATCTAAAATATAAATTAACATGGCATGACTTGCTCCATATTTGTTTAGGTGCACACTCAAATACAGTGGGAGGAAAAAAAGTCATCATGGGTCTTATTATGGAAGAACTCTTGAATTTTTTCAAATATCAAGTATTTAAAAAAAATATATCTTGACACACATTTTAATTAAATCTCACACACAAGAGAAGAAGCAACTGAGAAAAAAATAAAAACAAAACCAAACAAACAGTTGTGTTGAATGTTTTATTGATTTCTTCTGGATTATTAGGTAAAATAAAAAAATTATGGAGAATATTTTGTCACTGCCTTTGCGTGACTGAATCTGCCGAGAGACAAATCTTTACCTGAAATACATCAACAGCCACCAGTTCTGACCAACTTCAATACATTGTTGTGTAAATGATAGAAAGCCAACAAAAAAAGAAAACCACACAAATCCAAGATGTGGAATAATAACATTAACATTCTGGTATAATTACACAAATATATGTGGATCATACTATGTTAAAAACCAAAGAAGGTGCTGAAAAGATGTATAAGCTGCCGCAGGAAAAAAAAAAAAGAAAATTCCCAGATTTGTTCCTACTTTCACAATAAATGAAAAACAAACAACAGTAACTGCTACTGACCAGTAAGGCAATTAGTGCATCTTGTGTCAAATTATTAAGGTCTATATTTAACAGAATTCATTATGGTAAATTAGGTCAAAGACTTTAACAAATAACTTCCAGCTTAGTTTCTGATTATTATTCTTCTAGATTACCGGAAAAAAATATTTAAATCATTGTCAGCCACCACAGACAACAGAGTAAAACATATTCCTTAAATACACAGGCAAAATGAGGTTCTTCAATAAAACGTTTAGTTTTATTACATATATAACAATAGATAATGCCCCCAGAAGTATTCACACCCTTATATGTTTATTCATTTGATTATATTAGTCTGATTCTAAAAACAAGTTGTTTTATTTAAAAAAAAAACAAAAAAAAAACAAACAAAAGGCCAATGGTATTGAGAGCCTTTGACAGGACAATCTAGACTACTATTGTTATTCCTGGAATGTTTTTGCAACTTGATTAGAGTGGATCATTGCAAAATGTAATTATTTGGAAAAGAATTACCTAAAATGTCTGACAGATCAAAAAAAAAAAATATATATATATATATATATATATATCAGAGCAAAAACCCAACCAACAATTTCAAAGGACAGATCAGTAGACCTCTGCGATTCCTTTGCAGCACAAACATCTTAGTCCTTTAATGGAATTTAGGCTCTATTTTTAAGGAATTAATTATTACTAACATTTGAAAGCACCAGGGCCCTGCTTAGATCTGGTTTCCCAACCCAACTGGGTAACCGAGGATGAAGGATCTTAATCTAAGAGGAGAACAACCCAATGGTAACTAAATCAGAGATCAGGCTTTTTCTTGTCAAACAGGTTAACTATTGCCAAGAATGCATGTTAAGATAAGACTGGCAGCATGAAGGTTTGAATACAGACATGGACTCTTCCAACATGGAGTTTAAATCTTTCACCATTAGGTGTGAGTGTGCGTGACTGTCTGCCCTCTGTGTCTCTGTGATGCTCAGTTCTGGATTTCTGAACTTCTCAAGGCTCAGGGGTGGTGGATACTAAACATTATTTCATAGTGCCACCTGGCAAAGTGCTAAAACAAGGAGTGTGATTACTTTAGGGAAGCACCTTACACGTGGATTAAGTGCATGAAACAAACAACCCTTTATTCCTGTGACAAAATTCATTCACAGCAATGTGAATGGTTTTATATGTGTTTGACACATATAAAACCATTGTGGATGTGGCATTTAGATAAAGACTACTGCCTTGAAGGGTTTGCCATTGCCTTCATCTGAACCCTTCTGTCTAAGAATACATTCTTCTTTGTGTTTCTTCATCCATTTGTAGATTAGGAACGCCGATAGTAAGACTCCGAATACTGCTCCTGTTATTCCCCCTGCTATGGCAGCTGTGGATGAAAAATGTAAACAGCTCAACTCCATTTAGATTAGCATTTTATAGCTAGATCACCTGCATAATGCCTGTATCCCACAGTACCTTCAACAATCTTGTTGTTTCCCAGTGCACCTTTGTTGTTTGTTATAACAATAAAATTGGGTGCAGTGTCTTTGTCATGCCTGTATGAGCTGCCCAGGTTCAGAGTTGACGAGCTCTAAAGCAAAACAGAAAGCATCCCCCATATTATATGCATGATAAATCATATACCAGGTTAACAGCAGGATATTTTAAAGATGAGTCATACTTTGGCTGAATTTGTGTTTCCATCTGCAGAGTTTGACATAATAACTGGGTCAGGTTTGTTGTTAGTCCCTTCTTTGGAGTTTTTTCATTTTCAAAGAAAGAAAAATAAAAAAGGGACAAAAATATACTTTGAGTATATTTAGAAAAAAAGAAGGTGTCCTTTAAAGCAGTTCTTAAAAGAAATGTGTAGATATACCCTGATCTGGATCATCCCCTGAACCAGAGCCATCCAGGTCATATCCTGATGCCTCCAAGTCCTCTGGAAGTTCAAAAGGCTAATTCATAGAGAAAAAGGAAATAATTTTAGCATATAGATGGCAGTCACTAAAACACACAAGGCTCTAAGGAAGATAACAAAGCAATAAGGAAATAAATATATGGGCCAAACACAAAGTTCCCCTGACAATCCGATAAGGAGGGAGTCATCAACAGTAAAGACTTATGAGCAGATAACAACACATAATTGCGTCACTCAACCCATTATCTTATTTCTTGCTTTTGTGAATTAATTTACAAAAAAAAAAAAAATCAGTAAATAGAAATCTAATGTCTAAACCTTATTCCTTATAGGCCCATAAATATCTGATAAATGCAGAAATAACGATGGTAAAACAGTCAGAACAGCAAAATATTTATAAGTAAAACATTATAGGACTTCATAGTCTGTGTCATAATATCCACACCCAGTAAACAGGTCTACAAAAAACCTAGAGGAGCTACACTAAGTGCTTATAATAACAATGCAATACAAAACTGTTAACACCAATTCTAATTTGCTAAAACTTAAAAATAGCTTATTGGAAATCTAAGAAAAATTAAAACAAAAAAAAAAGCCCAAGCAGTAAAGGGACCATAATACAGAAGCCCTGAAAGGAAAGGGAGAAAAAATCTAGAAAAGAAAAGTTTGAAGTTTGTTTGTTTTCTGCCCAGAAAGGCAAGTTGAAAAAAATAAATAAAAATAAAAAATGAAAACTTCAAAATTTTCTTTTCTAGATTTTTTTTTTGTGTCCCTTGCCTCTGGGGGCAGGAAAAAAAAATGTATAATTTTCTTTTCCAGATTTTTTTCTCTCTTGCCTTTCAGGGCCTCTGTAACCACAGATACATTTTTTTCTGATTCTCTTTTCAAAAAAAAAAAAAATAAAAAATTCGAAACCAATATCCTGAAAAGTGATTTATATATAATTTAATGTTAATATAATTACAACAGTTCTCTGAAGGAAATCTTTGAAAACAAACTGCCTTATGAAGGCAGAGGAACACTGAAGAACAAATTGTTTAAACCATCTTAAAATGACAAGAGTGGGGCAAGAAGGGAAGAAACACTGAGATCCATGTTAGCTTTGAAAGGGCTGCAGAGAGCAACAGCTCAGGGGGAAGAATTTTTTTAAAAGACATCAATTACTAATACTGGTCTTTTTTCAAGAAAGGACAGATGGGAACTATAGTTAAATGAAAAGACCCAAAAACGCATAATTGCATAATAATTTACCCTAAAACCATTATTGCAAATTCATGATATCACAACAAAAAAGCTGTTTGAATGCAATACTTTTTGGGGTGTTTGAAGAGTCATGCATAAACCATGCATGCCTATTATTGATCTTGAATAGCCCTCCAATTTCCTTGATTCCCACAACTAATGTTAAATAAAAAAAAAGGAACTTGGAGGAAGAGAGAAGACCATTTTAAGTAAGGCACTGCAAGCAGTGTTTTACTCTGCTGATGAAGCACTTTGTATTTCAAGAGGCAGTAAAAACAGCTCAGACGGATCTAATTTATCCTTTAAAACAAGTAAACCATATGAAAACCTTAATGCATTGAATCCAAAGTTTCTTTACGACTTTGAAGAGTTAATATTTCGATCTGAATTTTCTAAAAACATAAATATCAATATATCGTACAGCTCATATTTCACTTTGCAGCAATCCTGCAACCAGTAAACAAAGATCACTAAATGATTAACAGTTTTGTGAGATTTCTGAATAAAATATATTTGAGTCAGAACATCTGATGGAATCTTTAAAAGGTGCACACCTTAGATTAAATCATTTCTTTACCAGGAAACCCCCCTCATTATGTCACATGGGGCCACACACTTTCCAGCCCCACAATAAACCTACAACAATCAGCGTTTGTAAATACAGCAGAGTTTTCTTCCATGCATTTTAGTTTTTGCTGCATAAAATGATATGAAACAGTCTATGGTGGTCTGTAAAAAGGTCTATGAATTTAAAAAGATAATATTTTCTATCATTTATTTAAAAAAAAATTTTAGCTAAAACCCGGGCTGGGTTGTCATTTATATACTTTTAATATAAAATTTCATATATATATATATTTTTTAAGCAGCTCAAGTTGTGGTGAGACGTGAAAAATCGGAGCGTGTTCAGTGTAGTTAGGAAGTTTAAAACCCCAAAATGTTTTTTTTTTTTTCTTAAACAGGCTCCGTGACATTTTGGCTCGAAGTTCATGGTCAACAACAGGAAGTGAGAAAGGTAAGAATGAGACGGAGGTAACCATCAGGTTTCCTCTCTTTAATGAGCTTTAGAGTCAGGAGGTGACTTACCGACACTCTTAATGGAAGGATTAATCCCAGAAACACGGAGACTGCCAGGGATAAGCGCATCTTTCTGGACTCCTTTCCGCGCCTCCCTCCTCCTTCCTTGGAAGAGTTTTGATTCTAGAAATAAACAGCAACCTGGCTACAGCCTCAGCTGGTTTAGCTACTGAAAACCCCACCCACTGTGGAAATGATCACACGCTCCACCTGATGGGAGGTGACTTCTGCTCACTGAAGACACCCTGCAAGACTTTGCACATGAAATATTTACTGTAGGGCTAAAACTATTTTGCAAAACCAATGATCTATTGATTATTTTTGGACAGCAAAAGGTTCCTTAAAGAAGACTTTTTATTAAATTAAAGCAGGTGAAACTGGATAGATTATATATATAGATGGAAAAAAATTTTTTATTTTAAATCTAGAATTTTACATATTTTTTGCACTATTTTCATATATTTACTGCTCAAGGTGGATTTCTCTGTCAGATTTTAGAGTCTCCATACTCAAGTTAACGATCAATCAATTACTAAATTAGTTGACGATTATTTAAATAATTGATTAATACTGATTAATCCGAATAATTGTTTCAGCACTAATTTAATGTACTTTTCTGAAGAAAAAAACCCCAAAAGAAATAAGCCTTCATTCTTAATAAAATTATTACATAATGGATGAATCACACATTTAGAAATCTATTCCAATTAATGCTAAAAACCTGCATCTTTAAAACATGCTGATTCATAATTTTCAGCCATAGTTATTTGAGCTATTGCAAAATATCCAAAAAGTGTCCTCAGTTATTACCTAAAATAAAACCGCTATACAGTTCTTATATTCTATGCAAATATATTGTTTACCCCCAGTTACACTGATACAATTGTTCTTCCCCAAGTGGTGTCCAAAAATAAATTTTAAAAATAAAAAAAACTGACATATTTGAAATGGGAAAAAAAATGGAAATGAAATGGAAGTTTCCCCTAATTTTATCCAAACTAGGAGCAAAGTTGTTAAAAAAAAATTTAAACTACAGGAACAGTTTTCCAACCATTAAACCCTTAAAATTGGAGGTTAAAATGTAGGGGAAAGCTTCAGGGCTTGTAATAATGGATTTCCAGGAGGTTGAAAGACCACTTTCTTCAAATTAATCTAGAAATCATTACATTTTAAACTACTGAAAAATGCTCGATTTAAAATGTATTTTTTTTTAAAAAACAATATTCCCCTTGCAACAGAAAATTAAAGCATAATTTTTTTTTTAAGGAAACAAAGATACTATACATGAGCTCCCTGGGTGACCACAAAACATAATTAGCTGGGGGGGAAATGGAACTTTCACCACAGGAAATCTTAAATAGATCAGTTCATTGAACTAAATACCCTAGATCTAACCACAGAATTACTGTCAACAGCCTCACAGATGCATGAGGAGGAAGATCATAGCACTGGATGACAGGATTTAATGCAGTGAGGTGATGAGGTGGAAGGAACTTCAATAAGGTGTGACATCAGACCTGCAAGCCAACATGAACAGAAAAGATGTCTTCCAGCAGGAGAGGACAGTGGATGGAATCTCCTCTTACAGGGATTAATTTTGGCCAGAAAAAAAGCAGGATTAAAGAGAAATATTTCAGTTCAGAAGAAAAAAAAACTTGGATATAAAGCTTTTCGTTTAACTAAACTTTTAAAACTTAATGATCCAAAGGATGGAGAGCAAGACTAAAACCATCATGTTTGTTATCAAAACAGACAAAAACTGCTACGAACAACCTGTTTGTCGAGTTTCTAAAACCTTAATTCAGTGATATCCAACTCTAATGATGGTTAAAAAAAAACATTTAAAAAAAAGTCATTATTTGAGAATATACATTATTGAACCTTTTTTTTAATGTAATTTGTCATACATTTTTGGGGGGATGTGGGATCTAGAACCTTAGGTCTTATAAATTTGGCCAATTTCATAAACAAAAACGAGGACATAGAGCTTTATTCTTTGGACAACTCTGCTCCAATTTAAAAACTGAAAGACCACAACAATCAGATGAAATGTTAGAAGACAATTTAATCATACATAGTCACAATTCTGCTTCCCAAAAAAAAAAGAAAATGAGTTTGTTTTCTTCCTCTAACATCTGGAAATGTACATAAGGCCACCTGAAAATGTACATGACTGACAGTGTGACAAAAACTCATATGTTCATATTTATATAATCGACAATATTTTACATTGCTTTTGCTTACAAGGTTGTGGCTGCTCCAAAACACAGCACTCATCTGTACAAAAATAATTCTCGTCATATCTTGTGAAGTTTGCACGGTAGCAGAGAGGACAAAATGCAATCTCAATTTTTGTAGAGTGTGTTTTTTTTCCTCCTCTCATTTTAAAACGGTCACACATTAGAGACTATTAACAGATGTTACAGCTTCAGTACAAATAGAGGCTGGCCTTTACATAACAGATTAAAAAACAAAAAATAAATCATGCCAGATTGCAAAGCCATATTTTTTTCCTTTTAAAATATCACTTGATCAAATAAAACTGTTTACATTATATCCAAGGGGAAAAGGAGTGATGAATATACACACACATTTCTAAATGCACAATTCTTGCCTTTTTTTTTCTCCCTCTCAAAAAGTGTAAAAGACATCCCATTTACAGCATTAACGTTTACAAATGTACAACTGTACAGACGAAATAAAAGCATCACTACAGATTTAGAGCAAGGCCTGTCAGGAAAAAAAAACAAAACCACCACAGCTAAACATATTTTTGATTTAACAAATAATCTTACACTTAACTGCACATATACTACATGTAATCTACAATTCAAAGAAGCAAAGAAGCCATCACTACGAGCATTACAGGTGAATTGTTTTAAGTTTCGACGGCCTTTACCGGCCTCCACAGCTGAACTTGCAAACCCAGCCAAATGGAAAATTAAAAACTATGTATATATATATATATATATATATTTATATATTAAAAAAGAAAAAGAACCAAAAAAAAAAGGTTCTTTAAACATCCCTTTCCTTAAATCATCTCTACCTCTAGTTCATTTCATCCCAGAATAAGATGGGATGAGCGCCGCATCATCGCTTCTGGACTCTGCTCTGACCTTCACACGGTGGGGGTTTAAAATCATCACTACAAGCCGCCCCGTCCCGCCCAATAGGCAACAATTTTACTCGTACATAAAGCTGCTATACATCACTGAACTACTTCTACGGAAGAGATGATAATTCAGTACATAAATATACTGTTTTCTAGGGCAGTGATCATCTCCAACTACAAGACGGATGTTATACAAAACATTATACAGGGAAGAAAAAAATTAATTTAAGAATTAAAACCCGTCACAGCATGCGAAAGCAATTCCCCGTCCACAACCCTGCTACCCTCTACGTAAAAGCCCCCGATAATATGGTCAAGTTAAGATCAAACCTGTACAAACCAAACCTCAGCCTCCACTTTTTTTTCTTAAAAAAAAAAAAAAAAACAATCAAGTCATAGCCTTTTTACCTTTCATCAACTCAAAAAGATATCTTGGACGAGTGAAAGAAGAACAGCTCACAAAAAGAAGGACTCTGCGAGCGTTTGCTCAGCTGTAGTCCTGGGAACAAGAGGCGGAGTAAACCGGTTCCACCCGACGAAGTTAAGAGGCGAGAACATAAAGCCACAAGTGGAACGTGAACCCAAGACTAAAGCACCAATCCCCAACAGCAAGCTGAAGAATAAGGTCTTGACCTCTGGGCGACTGTGGCACACGCAGCTCAACACTGCAATCCATCCTGATTAGAGCCATTTGAATACTAAATCATTTAGTTGCTTTGGCATGTGAGAACCCTCCTATTGTGCATGGGATATTATACAAATATAAATTTCAATCACCTAGAGCTCATCAGGACAGCTGACATTATCAAATCTGGCTAGAAAAAAAAACAAAAAAAAAACATTAAGAATTATGTTTTAAAAGAATCATTGTTTAGCTTTTTAAAGTCACTTGCTGGTGTTAACTGTAAGAATTGTAAATTTCAGCAAATGTGTAATCATTTCCTTTTTTTCTACAGAGAATTTACAAGGTAAAAAAAACAAAATGTACAATATGAAAACCAGTCAAATATATTGATTACATCATTAACAACGGGCTTGTGCTTTACCCAGGAAAATAAAGAAAATTCAGAACATAACCTGCTGACTGTGTGGCCCCTGGGGCCCCTACTGGGAATGTGCACAGGGGTGACAAAGTGGCAGGGATCAGTGTCACAGCATTCTTAGGTTAAACTGACTTGTCTTTTTGTTGTAGGTGTTTTTCTTTTTTGGTAAATAGCCCCCCTCCCCCAGCAGAAGAAAAGGGATGACCAATTGTATCAAAAGGCCTATGGCTAAAGGAGCAATCTTTCACAGAACAGGGGGTTTAGGCTTCAAACTCCTCCACTTCTTCAGGGGACCCGGGGTGCCGATTACATGAGTCCGTTCGTGGGGCCGCCAATGGGGCCGAGTTCAGAGCCACTCTTCATGTAGTACTTTTCTAGTTTAGCCAGGATGTGCTTCCCATACGTGTACTTGCGCAAAGTGGCGATGTGAGGCCTGATCTGAGGAGTGAGTGGAGACAGAGGGAATGAGTGAATGAAACCTATTTATATACAAAGATTGAAATTAACAACCTATAAAGTTCATAGCAACAGGAGAAAAAAAGAGCTATTCCAAATAACAACTGAGCATTTTGCTGTTATAATTTAAAAGGGTGAATAAAACAACTATTTCATACACATATTTACCATGTTTACTCCCCCTGAAGCAGATCATACAGTTTCTGGTCTTGTATTCAGTCCTTTTTTTAAGGAATCATAATTTCCTCACTGCTGTTTGTGAACTTAAGTATTTGGGTAATTATAGTCATTCCAGCTGGTTAAATAAATTATTTGCATTAAGAGAAACACTGTTATGTGGCTTAAAATACAATAAACCAGAAACTGCAACAAAACAGGTGCTTTGAATTAATATTCTGATGTTAATATTTGCCAAATTGAAATTGTGAAGTATTGTGCAACTCTAGTTTAATTCTAGTCCATCTGTCTTACAGTTCCTTCCTTTTGAAGTCAGCCAATCAGACAGACTCCATCACTGACAGTTAAAACTAGAGCGCACCGATTGCAGGTCTGTGACCAATCACTTTTTCCCAACCTTTAAAAAACCTAAAATGCTAATTCCGATTTTGACTGATACAGATTTTTTAAATAACTGATACTGTCAATTGTTTTAAAGATCACAAAAAACCCTTAAATATTTCAAGCTTCTCTTACTGAAGGGCATTGATAGGTAATTGTGAAATGATAAAAACATATGAAAATACTCTCATATATAAAATAAATAAATTCCCGAAATTAAGAAAATTGAGGCTAATAAATTGGCCGAATGATCGGACCACCCCCATTTAGAGCTTCCCTCCTTTCTTGTCATCCTTGGCCTTTAACACAGAGACTTTTTTTGCAGGGCTACCATTTCTGTTTTAATTTTGTAATACTGTTTGCTCTTAATCCACATCTTTTATCTTTATTTATTTTTTTTGGAAACTGGAAAATTTCAGAATTTAAACATTTAATCAATGTTAGAGCAGAGCAAGTACTAAGCCGTGTTTGAGTACCGTGCATGAATGTGTTAAGCTACCTCTTTTCCCTTCTGCATTAGCTCTGGCAGCAATTCATTAGAAAATAATACAAGAGGTCAACAGGACAAAGTGATAAAAAAAAAAGTTATGTTTGTACCTACGGTTCTATGAATCCTGGATGACCACCAGAGGGCAGTACTGAAAGCACTGAATGTTCCCTTTGCATACACAGAGTAATTATGCAGAGTCACACCTATGATACCCTGAATGACCACTCATAAGCTAATGCTAGCATCATCCAGGGCTCTGTTCCTAAAATCTTCTTGCAGAAGAATTTATTCTGAGTGACAGAATCTCCAGCGGTCAAACGGGATTCATAGAATCGTAGTTACAGACAACTTTCATTCCATTTCATCCCATCTGACCCCCTGTGTTCGACGGCCTCAGGTAGTCAGTACAGATGAAATAGAACTGCAGGGCCGTAGAATAGCTGTTTTTTCCTCTCAAGAATTAAGGATATCTAATATCTTTTAGATCTAAGGTTTTGGAAGTTAGACTTCCATAAATAAACAGGTACTCCAGAGGGGGGAAAAAATAAACTGTTGAGTTTTGTTCTGCTCACCTTGTGCATGATGATTTTCCGTTGAGCAGGTTCTGCCATGTCTATCATTCTCTGCACAACATAGTTGGCATACTGGTCCTTCATCATCGTGTATAGGGCGCTGTGGGGTCCGTCCTTCTGGCAGCACACTTCGTCTATTAGTAGAGCCCGCTCAGCACGCGAGGAGTGGATAACACACTTCTCCACGACATTACTGAGAACACATGAGATGCCGTTACACACATTTGCAATTTAGAATCTCCAAGATGGTTAGAAGCACGTTCCATCTGTGCTTATAAACTAGAGCTAAAACGATTAATAGTAAAAGTTGTAATTAATAATTTACAGAAAAACTATTTTAGTAATCAAACAACAACCATAAACTGGAGTATACAGATTCTAAAACATGCCATGTACTGAAAGAACCCACTTAAAGCACCAAGTATATAGTTTGCATTTAAGGTCAACAACCCTTAAGTTTTAAGTTAATCTGGTTCAAATTCTGTTAAACTACATTTTCATGCATCTATATGGTCATAAATCAATCAATTGATGCTGATGCAATACTTTATACTCGCCTGCATAATGAGTTCTTCCTGCTGTCCTTCATCCTACCCTACATGCATCACATACATTTCCTCATAACCAGTGGAGTTTCTGTACAAATGCTAAACAAGTGCAGAAGTCTGACAGATCTCCTCTAGTACACGTAGATGGAACTAAAAGCAGATTTATACTGCAGCTCTTAGAACAAGACTAATCTTTTTTTTTTTTCTCGTCTTCAGTTTAACTAGAGTCCAAAGACTAATTTGACAGCATCAAGGCCTTAAATTGCAAAATGTTATTCGGAACATCAGGCTAAGTACATTTATGAGGCGTGGTCACCTCTACACGTCTGAATCATACCCCAGAAGGCAACGCGTACCCATGTTTATGTCCAAGAGTTCTGCTTATACAGTATTCTCAGCAGCACATTTGAGCATGATGGGCTGTAGAAATTACACAAAATTTATGCCATTACAGTGATTTTCAGTGAGTAAAACCTCTGCATAATGACATTTTTGACGCAGAGTCACAATCAGCTTAACACATATGCCCCCCCAGCAGAAAGAGATAGCAACCTGTAGAGCCCCAGAAGGAAACAGCTGGTTTATCAAGCAGAATAATCAGATTTTTTTTCTACCCTGAGAGACTGTTGAACTGCCCATCCCAACATAAAAGTAGAACAAAGGAAATATGACTGGGCTAAGCTAGCAAATTAAGTAAGCAAAGTGGGGAAAGTGATAGAAAAAAAAAAAAGGGAACAGTTTTAAAACTTCTCTTTAGTAATGAAACTTGTGAGCAGGGTGGAGAAATTGGCTGTTGCTGAGTGTGTCCAGTCTTTTGGGAATTCTGATGACTAAGCCTGTGTGATCAGGCCACATAGCTCTGATAAGCTGCCATTACTGCTACTAGGTTCCACCCAACAGTTATATGTCGAAACCACTGTAATTAACCATCTCAATCAAACCACAGCAGGCTTTTTTTTTTTTTTACACAAACTGAAACTCATGCTTTATCGCTTTGTGCATCCTGGAGACCATCCAGCTCTGGATTATTTCAAATGCTCTTATGCCCTTCTTATCCACCGAAGGCCTAGGGATGTAATCTATGTACTGTTTTATTTAAGAACGTGATTAAATTTTAACATTTAGGTGAATATTACTATCAATTTTGTAACATGGGCTAAATAAAAAGTCTGTGGTACGTTAAAAAAACTACACAACCAATTATTAGCTATCCAAGTAAATCAAAGATAAATTACAACACTAACCTACGTGTGTTAAAAGTATTCACTTTTTAAATAATAAAACCTATTAAGTATTACTGTAAATTTAACAAATAAGGTTTAAATCAGACCACTCAGAGCGGAAATCTGGTGAGTGAATCACCCAGTACATAAAGCAGCAGTCCAACCATACCTTGCAAACTTATGTTGGCTCAGGACCAAAACCTTTCCACGGACTTCTGCCACTATCTTGCTCTTATCTTCTGGTCTGCCATGCTCCAAGACATGCTGAATGACGTAGTTACCATACTGATCCTGCAGGAGGCACCAGAAAGTAGGCACAAGCAATGCAGGTTTAAACAGCACTTTCCAAAAAAAATAAAATAAAATAAAATAAAATCTGTGAGAAACCATTTCATTTGATTGATATCCATGCAAAAAAATAAATAAATAAAAATTCACCACTGGTCTCAACTGGTGAGAAACAATCATGCATGTCTACAACAACAGGCTGACGAATGAGTGACACCCCCATTTGTATTACATCAAATACCCTAACGTCATCACTGCGGAAGGTCAGACAAAATAGATGCTGCTGGTTTAGAGTTTTGCCGACCAGACTATGCAACCAGTAGCATCTTTGCCCCTTCAGAAATAGGTGATAGACAGTTATGGGTGTGATTTTAGTGACAAGATGGAGACAAAACTCACCCTCACGTAGCAATAAACAAATACTCAATTACCAGTATTATCAATGCAGTAATTTGTTGGGAAGCCACAGTAGTCTCCACCTTGATTTTCTAGTGTTTGCCCTGACATTCATCTGCAGATCAATCTGTTTAAACATGCTTTGTGCTGCTTTTTGATAATTTTGAGTTGTTTTTTTTTTTTTTCATGGAGTGGCTTAATTTATATAGAAATATAAACAAAACTATAATAATTTCAGCAAACCAAAACAAAGAAAACAGATTGATCAGAATGTGCAGTAGGCAAAAATACGGGAGATAGGCACGTGAGCAAGAAAGGAGAAAGCAAAAGAAGGAAAAAAAGCTGTTCAATGGGTTAAAAGAGGTATGTATAAGTGGAGAATTTGATAACTAAATGTTAACATCTTTTTAGAAGATATAAAAAGGAGGAAACGGGAGAGGAGAATGGGGACATCCGCAAGAGAGGCAAATTGCTGACCTTGAACAGTGCATCACGGGACACTGTATAATATGTTTTGGGTGTCATCTCCAATGAAACGCCTTGATATTTCTAGATGGAATAATAAGTGAGGGGGCAGGGTGGATGTTTAAATAATCACAATCAGATGTCATGACAGCTAACAGTTCAATTACATTTATCTTTACACGTATTAAACCACGATGACAGTGAAATGTTCAAACATGATGGAGACATGCAAGGACCACCAGACACATCTGATGTTCATACCTCGAAAACAAATCTTACATCTACTGAGAGTGATTTGGAAACTAGGAGCTGAAAGGGCTCACCTGGCCAAGCTGTTCAGAGTGCTGATGCAGCTCCTCCAAGATGGGCAGCGTTTGCTCCTGAGTGCAGTGCTCCAAAATCCTTTGGATTACTCGGCAGCCGTAGGGGTGAGTAGAAAGCACAAAAACCTGCAAAATAAGGGAAAAAATACAAAATGTATCATAATTTATACTAAAATTTGAGGAATAGCTAAAGACCAATGTTTTTGCTAGACTTTAACAACTTAAGAGCTAAGATACACCTCATCTTAACCCTCATACTTAATCCAAGTGTTTATAGGTGTGGCAAAGATTTGAAATAGTTTACGGTACCTAGCAGGGGCTGAGTCATTGTTTCAACGAATAAAAATTATGATTTTAATAAAATAGTCAAAACAGTCACAATCTAAAAATACTTGTTTAAATCAAGTAATTACGTAGTATATTGTAATTTCAAACAGAACTCCAAAAACAATAGAAAAAAAATTTACAGAAGCAAAACGGATATTTGTATTGAATGTGAAACGGAGAGAGGAACATCCTAACATTTTATTTGGCTAACAAGGCCACTACAACAATTCAGGCAAGAAGACCGAACCTGATTTAAAACATTTAGAAATTACTGCATGTTGTCTGACGACATTGTATAAATTCACTTACGCCGCTTCTCCTGTTAATATGGTAAAGCCCCCTGGAATGTCCAGGACCAGGCTACACGTGATACTGTGATACTGATTCTAAAAAATAAAATTAAATATGACGGAAAATAATAAAATAACAGCAATAAACCTACCTGTCCCTGAAAGGCGTCAATAATGAACTGCAGAGCCTGAGGCTGGACACATTCGATGCATTTCTGCACCACATGGTTCCCATTCTGGTCTTTGACACACTTCAGTACGTGCCCATCCAACTCTCGTACAATGTCACTCTGGGGAAAAACAATTACAAATGAGAAAAGAGCAGCTGTTAAGATTTTATTAAAATAAAAGTTTGACTGATAAAGATATCAAATTTATAAACTGTTAGAAGATTAAAAGCTCACTTACAATTACCTGCTGCTCTGAGGAAATGGACTCCAAAGCTTTCTGAATGACCCTGCAGCCGTACATCTGCAAAGCCAGGGGGAGGACGTGCCCGCGAATGCGTGTTGCCAAAGCCAGCTTTTGGTCTGCACTTCCAAACTGTATAAAATAAAAAATAATCAAAAAAAAAATATGTATGAGACCTAATAATGAGAGCTGATAATAAAGGGAAACATCCAAGAAGGTTTTCAAACCTCAAAGAACTTTTGGATGACGTAATTCCCAAAAACGTCAGTCATCAGTTGATACGCCGCTTGCAGAATTTCTCCAAACACCATCTGCCTCTCAGCAGGTGTAGCCCTCTCCAGCTTCTGTTGGATGAATCTAGAAAAAGCAATAATAAATCAGATATTAAATCAACACCTCTCATCTAAAAACATTTTCTTGTTTTGCTGAGAAGAAAACGTGAGTCTAACTTCACGTTTCAGTCAGTCACCTGGATCCATGCTGGTCCTGAGAGAACTCCACCATGTGGCCCGGTAGGTCACGTAGCTGGAGGTTGGGGAAACGGTTGTTCCTAAAATCTTCGAGCAGGCGGCTGCGTCCAGAAGGCATGACGTCAGAGCGGCTGTAGCGTGGCCGGGAGGGCGGGAAGAGCTGGCTGCTGGAACTGAACAGACTAGAAGTGCCACCAGCACTGCGATATTTGGCCTCGGCTCCTGGAGCAGCAGAAATGAAACGCCCACTGCCATTTGTCAGGCCACCTAAGGATATAAAAGAAAATACAGAGCAATGATCATTAAAATACATTTTAATGATTCCCAATTACAACACTGCCACTTTTGAACTGCATTGAAACCCCCCAAAAAAGTACTGTACTGTTTTGTACATGGATTTAGACCAAGATATAGAAAATTCACCAAGAAAAAAAAAGCATTCCATCATCTGATAGAAAACAAATTTTTCCCAATCCAAATTTTATTTCCATATCAATCAATACAGCTGGAAAGTATCATGTCTTTTTCAAAAGCAAATGCAGAATCCTTAAAAATCTGTTTAACAATCTGGATGTTTGCCCTCTCCAGATAATTCTCCCTTATAGAGAGCATTCTATTATATCTTGCACTACAGATAAAGCTTTTGTCTAGTGTGCTAAAATTAAACTGCAGAGACTATGAGTCTACTGCAGGGAGGACAAAGAGATGACTAAGAGTATCCACTTTGCCATATGCTGGTCTCTTCTTACTCAGCAGAGGCCAGATCCTCCTCCATCCATTAAACTTGCCCAGTGTAAAGAATGTAAACCATAAATACTTTTAGAACAAGGATAGTGATCAGAATGGATCATACTCACCTTGACAGGAAACTCACGAGTAAAAAAAAAAAAAAAAAAAAAAAAAAAAAAAAAAAAAAAAAAAAAAAAAAAAAAAAACAAGGAAAAAATATTAAAATTTCTCCTGTCAATCGAAACAATACCCCATCAACCACAACATCCTGATGTGAGAGGTTATACTCCATCCAGAGAAGACTTACAACTATGTTCAGTTAGGGCTGGGCGATATGAACTCAGTCAATATCACGATAAATTGGGCAGTTTTTACCTCAAAAACGATAAATGCACAGTAAATGCTCTGGTTCCTCCATCAGAAATAAGAAAATGTGCAGGAAATGCAACTGATCTACTTATGATTTATATATTGAATAAATCACATTACATATAACTTTTAATTAAATATTAAACTATTGTACCCATTGAGGTTTAACACTCATTGAACAAGAGAAAAATGTTTCCTCTCTTGCAAACATTTTTTCGCAAAGGTAATGGAGCAAATCTTTGAACTCAACAGCGAGTTAGTGCTGTAGGTGGAGGTTTGATGTGTTACTAAGGGTAATCCTGACAGTTTTCAGGGAAACTTTGCATTTTGTGTTCTTTTGCTCAACAGCTATAGTGTAATTTTGCAAATTGAGCGTGAAGCAAAAACAATGTGCTTTGTTTAAACTTGCACACCCTCACGCAAAACTGGTCTGCGGCTTGTCAACTCTGACGACATGCTCTCGACTTCTTCTCTATGTGCTCAGCTTCATCTCTGCCTCGCTCAGCTACACAGGATTAACTGATGTAATTTCTTTACAGCTGTGTTAGACACTTCTTCACTGGGTTCATCCGCCATTCTGTTTATGCTTCTGACTGAATGGGTTTAGACCGTGCTGCCGTGATTTAAAGGGAAAGGAAGTACCAGGCACCCCCGCGCACAGGAAAACTGCAGAACTAAGTTGATTTCTTTTACCGACCTGGGAAAATTGTCTCCGTTTATCGTAGTGAATGACAGTAAGGGTAAAAATCTAGTTTATCTCCCAGGTCTATTTTTAGTCAGGTGTGAAAAATTTAGATTTAACCAATGATGTTCCTGATGCAAGAATGTAAACAGCAGAAACAGAGAGGTTAATTCCGGGTTTTCATTAAAGAAAAAAAAGAAAAAGAAAAAAAAAATCCCAGACACCAAAGCGTTTGCAGATCCAACTTTAAGCTTACCTAGGTGAAGGCTGGAGGACGACCCATGAGAAGAAGGCAAAGAAGGTGGAGGAGTGAGTGGGGAGTGACCTGGTGTTAGGCCAATAGGACTGGGTGAAGATGAATAACCCAGACTGTTGTAAAACGGTTGACCAATAGGAGTTAAACTGCTGCCACCACGCTTGTACAAGTCTGAACTTGCCAACAGCGAGTCCCTGCGAGACACGCTGCTACTGGTTGAACTGGACACTGGAAGAAAAACACAGGAGGACAGTTAGAAAGGAGATGTCCCTGATTTAAATAAAGAGATGAGAGAACAGGTGGAGGAAAAAAATAAAAGAAATGTAGAAGCTAAAGAAATGAACAACTGACCTGATGAGCCGAAGCCTCCAAGAGCAGAGCCCAACCCCACACCAAGGGAGCCGCCTGTGCTGCTGAAGCCCAAAGAGGAACTTGGCGGCGGTTGCGCAGCAGAGTTATGAGAGAAAAGAGAGCTGCTTTGGGAGGTGTTAGGAACCGATCCAGAGCCATAGAAAGAGCTGGACTGCATGCCGCTGCTGGGTGGGGGGGCTTGCTGCTGCTGTGGCTGAGGTTGAGGCATGGAGCGGTACAGACCATTGGCTGGGGGTCCAGACATGTTGTTACCAGAGCCAGATGCAGATACAGCTGCTGCTAATAGGCATCAGTATTAATTTGATTTATTACATTTAACTGTAGCAGTGGATCTCTGAATGCACACCAACAATTGAAACATAACTAGATTATCTCTTACCGGCTTGTGCAGCTGCTGCAGCTGGGTTAATGAGTAGAGGGGTTTGTACAAGACGAACTGGTCCGCTCAGACCAGTCCGAGCACCGGGGCCCATTACCAAGGCTCCAGTTTGGTCATAATAGGCAGCCGGGGCCAACACCTGATAACCTGAGTAGAAATTAAAACAAAAAGCAATCTTACCAGAAACAAATAAATGTATTTTGGCATAAAGTCAGCAAATCTTAACCCCACACTGTTCATTTAAAAACAAACAAAGACACACATCAGTTGTTAGTTTTTGTTGGATTAAAGGTGTGGCACAGGAAAGAAGATCTCTACTAACCAGGCATTCCTGCGTAAGCTAGAGCAGGGTTTGCAGCAGCTGCAGCAGCTAAAGACTCCTGCTGACTTTGTTGTCCTTGTCCTGGAGTCAGAGGTCGCTGGTTGGACCCTGTGCGCATCACCTGAGAGAGAGAGAAACAATGGGTTGATTTCAACAACAGAGCCATAGAATATACATCTTTGCCAACATTTTCAATTAACTTGACATGTTTTTAAGGAAATAGGTAGATAAAGAAAAAAAGATTTGAAGTTAAGAGTCCTTGACCAGGAACATTAGGCTGTAGAACGGCTCTGACAGCTTCCAGGGGACATAAACGCATGTTGACTTGTATTCTGGTGAAATGTTACCAAACTGATGAAAGATTAACAAAGGAAACACTTTCATATCTAACTGGGAAATGCATACTTTTATTCATTAAGAAGAAAAGCTGGTACGAAAATAAATCTTCATTCTCAAAACCACAAAAAGTCTAAATTATATATCATAGCTAATGAATTATATTAAATGATATCCAAAATCTTTTTTGTTTTCACATTTCAACCACAAACCCTTATGTTACTTGACTTTTAACTTATAAACTCAACAAAATGTGGGGCATTGCTTGAGTAAAAAAGGAAAAAATGGTAAAATCGTTTCTTCGATTAGCTTTGCCCCCAGGTTGGATTAAAGACGTTTCTCCTTGTTTATATTTTGAATTGCTTTTCCAGTATTCATGCTGGCCGTCTCCCACCTGAGCTGTGGCTCCTTACAGCTCCTACAAAATTAACAAAAGTTTCCCGCTTCCTCTCTTTGTGAGCCTCTCAGTTTAAGTAGACTGCCATGTTTTGTTCTAACATTTTGCCCTTTGGCCATAACCTTGCCAATTTTAGATGACTGATCAATCTGTAATTGATTTATTAAATTTTCAACACTTAAGATATTGTTTAACAAACTAATCTTGGATGAGACGTCTGCACGGCTTTATCTGTTAGCCTATCTGCTGCACTACTTCAATTCCTTTTCGTCGACACAAGATAAAACCTCTCTCCATGAAAAACTACCACCCTACTAATGGTCCACTAATTGGTTAAATGAAAAGCAGACCAAAGAACATTCAGGTTCAACAATGTTTAGAAAACCTGCAGGCTATGAAATATAACTTTGCTCCCACCTGTGGCTGGCCGGGCCCTGGTCCCTGGTTGGATGTTTGCTGATTAGCTGAGTGATTGGCAGTTGATGCAGCCTGTTGCTGAAAGAGATTGGCTGGATACACACCCCAAGGGACACCGTAGTACTGGGGCGGAACAACGGTGGGGCCTGAGGATGAAAAAGTGTGCATTTTCAAAAAGAATTTCACTTAATTTGATTTATTAAAAAAAAAAGAGCCACAACTTTTATAAGAGTATCATGCATGAGAATAATCCGCCAAACTTTATCAAAACATGAAGCAGTAATTACCTGCTAGTGTGGCTGCTGCTGCCAGGCCAGCGGCAGTGTATGGGTCGGCTCCAGGCGGGGCAGCGTTAATGATGTAAGGATTTGGCATAAATGCAGGAGCGAGTCCAGCTGGGAGACAGGAGAGAGTGATGCTGCTGATGTTTCAAATCTCATCCAAAAGTCTATGCAACCGAGACCAATTAGACCATAATTGAATTGAGAGGTCACTGAGCTGAGCAGCCTGACCTACCAAGATGCTGTTGTTGAGCTGCAGCCAGGGCATATTGTTGTTGCTGAGCTGCTGTAAGCTGTTGAACTGTCAGAGGATTCGATCTCTGGAACAACTGGGGGAAGAAAAAACAAAAACATTTAAAGATTGTCATCTCCTGCGCATACAATCTGATACGCTTTACAAATAAAAGCCATCCTGTCAGACCTGCTGCTGAGAGTTGTAGTCAAACAACCCTACAGGAGTTCCTGAAGAGTCCACCTGGATCTGGTTCCCAGCATAATCGAACTGCAGAGACTCTACACCACCTCCCTGTTCCATGCCACCCATGTTCTGGGCTTCTTGGCTCTGGAAGTCCTCAGTGGGGACCTTGTTCTGGGCAGGGTTTTGATGTTGGATGACATGCTGATGGTGCTGTGCCATCATTTCCAAACCCGCCTGGGTGGGACCCATTCTCTCCACGGCCTCAGTGGGGGATGCTTGGCGGCTTCCAGGGGTTGGGCTGCAAAAGCAAAGCATCAAGTACTTTTGTTATTAGAATTTTGTTTGGTAGGTTATCAGCATGTGCCGTGTTTGTTTTAGAAGCCACAATGGTAGCTTAAACAAGCTTTAAAATATCAAGAGGGGTCTAAGTTCTAGAATACCTTCTCTAGACTTTGTTCCGTTATTGAGTAAAGAAGACTGAAAGTTAGTACTTTTTAGACTGAGAGAGACAGCAGATTTAAAATGTCTTTAAAGTGAAAGTATTTCATTAGAGATTTTTTTTCTAACCATTTTATTATAATAACCAAATTTTACAGAAAGTTCTCTCATAAAAGCTTATGTTCAAGTGCTTAGGGTCGGGAGGCTGGGATAAAGATTAATAAACAGAATTTTTATATCTTCTATATCTAATTTCTTAAGAAGAAATTAAAAAAAGATGAACCCTGCATTGGTGAAACAAGGATTGGTACAGATGTAATCGGTCGCAGGAATCTGATAGGAGCATTCCTAATCTGCTTGCTTAAAATTTTTTCAGTAGGTAAATCCAATTCAATCCTTTAATGAAACTATTAAAGCAAGATGACTTACTTGAAGTCTTTGCAGTCTCTATCCATGCCATTTAGCAGACCTCTTCCATTGGTTTTGGCTGGATCACTGTCCTCTCCCACCTTCATCTCAGGGCTTTTGTCTTCCTCAAAGGGTGACACCTTCTCTTGTACATCACTCTTTTCTCTTCCATCTTGGTCAGTGTCTCCTCCACCCTAAAATAATGTGGTTAGTCCCACTCATTTTCACAGCCAAATTATAAAGCTAATAAAAGAAAGACCAGTGATGACTTACATAGCCTCCGTTTCTGTAGCGACCGTCCATTTTGTCACCAGGAGAAGAGCTCAGGACGTACTCCACCATGCTCACACCCAGGCCTCCGCCCTCTGAGCGAGGCGAAAGTACAGAATTTGTATCACCGTTCCCGTGGAAACCCTGACCAGGCCGCCGTTGTACCATGATTGGCTGGGACACTGAATGATCTGGAGAAAAGGTCCCAAGAAAGGAGAATTGTTGATGATCAAAAATAAGTTTTCTGGACCCTCTCAAAGATAGACACAGATTTGATCTGCATCCAGGTGACTAGAAATTATAACCTAATCTTAATAAACCCTCTACAGCATCATTTTTTTTTTAATGACCAACTATAAATCATTACTAGTAAACCAGGACTTTCAAGCAGTCCTTTGGTTTAATTTCACCTAATGCTGCATAATGATAGTTAGAAAGGCTCCATTCACAGAGATTTACAACTAGAAACGCAGTTTACCATTTGTTTGTACACGCCAGCATCATACAGCATCTTCACTGCTGCTAAGTGCAAAACTCTGGAGGCAAAACCCTTATGAAAACACAGTCTTTTCCGTTTGTGTTCACCTTTGAGTAGATGAAGCCATAACATTTTACAACAGACATTTTTGACAGAAATTTTAATCTGGTTGGAAAATCAGAACAAACAAACAAAAAAAAACAGACATGCCTTTAGGAATCCATAAGGGATCTATAATGTTATAAAGTGCCAAACTCAACTTTCAGTTTAGGTATAGCTTTAGGTAAAGCTAGGATGGTCATTGAACTTATTTAATCTCTAAAACCTGCCAATATTACTTCATCTAGACAAGACCAAAAAAAGAGGTTCCTTTTACTCTCAAAATAGGAGACCTGATCCTACAGTTTGTTTTTAGGTTTTTTTTAAATTATTTGTTTCTTTCAAAGGCCATTTAAAATGTTACTGGCATCAAGAGAAACAAAGTTATACCTTGCCTTAAATAGACATTAAATATAAAAAAAAAACTTAAAATATCCTATTTAGTGCAAAAAAAACAACAACATTCCATTATGAAAAATATAAACACCACTTACGAGACGATCCCCATGCATTCTCCCTCCACTCTTCACCAAGAAGCATCCCTTTCCTTCCATCCTTTGCAAGTTCATCGGAATCCCAGATCTTTTTTGTTGGCAAAAGCTTAAAGAAAAAGATTAAAAACATTTATAATTATTACGGGTTGATAAATAACTGAAGCCACATGTGTGACTTTAACAAAGGCTGGAAGGTTTTCCTTTGATCGAACTATAGAACAGCTCCTTTATTATTTGTGTGCTAAAAAGTCCAGGCAAGGATCAAAGTTTTCCAGCAACATTTTAAAACCAATTTAGGTGCTACCTTTAACAGGCAGTTTATTATATCAAAATGGCTTTGAGAAAAAAATAAAAATAAATAAATCACGTATTTCCCCTTTTAATCTGGATTACATTATTATGCATTCAATTTGTTTCCTGGGTGAAGTGTGTTTAAATCATGGATATATCATTGATTCATTTTGAATATTAAAAGTCGGTCTCTCTTTAGGGACCAAAAAAAAAGAAAAAAAAAAGGAAAAAATATTATGAGATAACCAAAAGGTTTGTTTTAAGTTTTAAAATCCCTTACCTCTCCCATTCCTCTTGATTCCAGAGCAAGAGCTTGAAAATCATAATTCATTTCATCTACAGCTCGAACCTAAAGTTTAGAAAAAGAACAAGTGTTAAAACAAAAAATCCAATTCCATTTCATGCATCCATTATTTTGAGCTTTACTGTCTGTCCTAGAGTATACATCCTTACAGGCTAATAGATAATGGGTCTCTTTCAATCTTTATGACAGCAGTAATTTAAAGGATGGATCTAATTACTCAGAAAAAACATAAATCGTATTAATTAAGTTGAATTTAAAAAAAATAAAAATAAAAATAACAATGACAAAATATCAGATAGTGCTATTTTGCCAAAATTTGGAACAATATATGGGCATCCTGTTATAATCAGTTTTGTATCCAAGGTCCTTCTACTGAACATCATGGCAAAATCTTTAAACTTTTGGTGGCAATGTGTCCTGATTAACTGTACATCATGTACATAAATTCAATGAAACTATAAAAAGGAACCAGGCAAATACTATGTGAGGGGAAGACAATGCCACAATGACAGCCAAGCGGGAAATTATCTTTTATATTCCTGTCACTCCAACGATTTCTTTTTGACAACACTTCTGTATGTTTCTAATATTCACACATCATCTAATGCATTTTAATTGATGCAGTTAGTCTGGAGCCAAATGCGTTTATTGTGTTAAATTTAGTACAGAACAAACAAAAAGATGCAATCTATTAATGCACTTAACTGCATCTCATCCAAATGCATTAATTAAAACTGAATTCATTCAAACATCAAATAAGATTTTGCATTTGAACTTTATGGCAATTGTGCACTTTAATTTTCAACTTAATCCTCGGAAGAACACATTGGAAATAGTAAAAGGAGATGACAGCAGCAGCAACAGCTTAAAAGTTCCACAGAAAATTTTTTATCAGTTTTATTTAGTGTATTCGTTTCATGAAACCAGTGTGCTAAATCATATGGCCTATGATGAAGTTTAGATCACTGTGTTCTGAGTTTTTTTTACCTGATCAACATGATTGGCATCTCCAGTTGGCCAGCGGTGCTTGTTAGGAGTGCAACCAACAAGTTGCTCTCCAGGTTGCCTCTGAAAGAAGTATCCAACTGTTGCATCGTCCTGAGATCTTCCGCTCAATGGAGGCTGCGGCGTACCTGGAGTGAGGGTAGAACTTCTGTCCATACCCTGTAGATGTGGTCCACCAGGAGCCTGTCCACCGCCGACCGCCGTCAGGGGTCCGCCACCATGAACCCGAACACCCCCTGCATCAGGAGCACCATTTGCATGCAGCATCCCACCTCTTGTCTCCTGCCAACCCACGTCATTCATGCCTAGGATGCTGCATGGAATGCTCATTCCACGGGAAAGCCTAAGAAAAATCCAAAACATAAAAAGGTCAAACTTTAACTATCTCAAATAGTCCAATGGCACTTTTTTTTTTTTTTTAGATGTGCTTAACAGTTTCAAAACCTACAGAGAAAAGCATTCCACTATTCCTGTTAAGTTTTGCATTTTCTTATGCAGACAAAGTGTCAAAAGGTGATGAGGCCAGTTTTTTCCAGCTGCACAGAGAACAAATAAGATGAAGCTTCTCTTCGTCACTTGCTGCGGCACTACTGGTAAGTTGACTCCAGGATGGCTACAATGTTTCTCACTCTTTCTTGATTTTTTTTTAAGCTGACATATTGGGAAAACTAGAGTAGATAACCTGAAAAACCTGCTTATATAACCTCTGGTACAAAACAAGGTCTATTAATTATTTCTCTTTTTGTTTATATTAAAATATAATAAATCAATAAAGCAGCAGTGAAACAGTTGCAACATTTTTACTCAAGCTATGGGACAGAGAGGATATCATAGTGATTCATACCCAACTGGGAGCTTGGCCCATCTATGTTAACTTCTAAGTTGTAAAACCAATGGAAAAAGTATTGCTGAGGATAATTTTGGATCTTAGTGGAAAAATAAAAGAGTAAAAGTTATTAAAAGAAAAAGTTGCAGCTAAATGACTTAACAGTTGCAGTAGTGGTGATTGACTAATTTAGCATAAAATCTAAATTCAAAAAAGCTAAATAATCTTTAAAATTACAAAAAAAAATATCTCCAGGTACAATTAAATGTGTATTTAGTAGCACCATTAGAATTAGATTTTAAAAAACTCTGTTTAGTAATTACAAAAAGAAAGAAACAAATATTAGGAATTATATTTATTTTAATAATTTAGGTGACGGTACATATAATTTTAACATCTGATGGATATTAGTCTATTTCATAAACTTCCAAAAGCCATTGCAGGAACAATGCTATGCCTATAATAAAGCTCCTATCACAAACCAAAAGATAACATTTTAATATATAGATAAACCACACCAAAGCTTGTCATTACATTTAATAAAACCCAACATTTTAGCAGCAGTAGATCAAATGAAACACTCAAAAGAAAGCCAAAAATACAAAGTGTAAGTTCATTTTGCTCGATGGGTACTGACTAATTCCTGTCATGCTAAGCCTAAGCCATGAGTCTCCATAGCTTTTATGGTAATTTTATAGCTACCGACACACACGAACATTAGCTGAATTTTGACGGCCTCGAACGGCGTTTTGCAGAAAATGACAATTAAAAGTTAGAAAAACAAGTCTCGAAGGAACTGAACATGTACGAAAACACAATACAATGTTCCCAAACTTACACTTAGCTCTCGCTAACCCTAAGCTACCACTGTGATGCGGTAGCAGCTGTTTATTCTAACAGATGCAGACAGTAAATATGATTAATTATAACATACTTTAAAACCAGATACTGTGAAATACTTTTCACACTTAAAATTTGAATATTCTTTATCCAATATCTGAAGCAAAAATCCAATAGAAAAGCTAAGTAGCCAACGCGCTGCTAGCATTCAAGCTAGCATAGCAGCTTTCATTAGCTTTGTTGTAAAACTCCGTTGAACATGACCATTAACAATCTGGAAAAAGAAATATTTGACACCCAATAATCTAAAGAATGTCTGTTTATTACATAGAACAGAGCGTGCATGTTGCTGAATGGGATTACAAACGACTGTAAGCTTTGGCAACTACAACGGCTAACGAACCGAAGCTAAATGCTTCGGGCCTGCTTCTGTTTATTATTGGTTTGTAGCGCTTGATTACTATTGCAATATGAAATTCAGTGTTGTTCAATTGCTAGTGGTAAGACTATCATAAGTAACTAAACAAATGTTGGTTGTAAATAAGACGATCACGTTAAGCATGTTCAAAATGGGCAGTTAGAAAAAAGAAAAAAGACCGACAGCTATCATGGGAGCTTATTACCAACTTGCTGTTGTCTGGAGCTTAAACATCAGCCAAATACTCAACAACATGGCCCCCCTTCGAGTCCCAAAACAGAGGGGCCTTAACCGCTAAACAAAAGAGAAATACCCACAGCGCGGCTAACAACGGCGATCGAATAGCTTGATTAACGGATTTCTGCTTGAATTATACTATAATAGATTACAAAATACTCACGCCTTGTCGTGTAGATTGAGCCTCTGTGCTTGTAGCACGCTGTAAACCCTATTCTATATTGTTTTGTTGCCGTGGAGAGAGAGCGGTGATTTTTAGCAAGGCTTGTTCAGTGTGCTAAGGGTTTGCCCTCGCTGGCGCCCCCTTCCTGTAAGTAGGGTGAACTACGTAAATCTACGTGTGTACTTTCCCAAACCTTTCACAAGACATTTTTATATTTATTATTATATCAAAGTGCCACAATCCAGTAGCTAATTTATTGAAACATATTTGCATAAGGGAATATATTAATACAAGCTTTCTGGATATATCTGAATGTAGTAAAACTTCGCTAACGTGATGGTAAGGACACAAATTTAGGAAAATAATTGACTACCTTATCAGTCAAGCGTTCATTTGCCGTGTTTTATCATATAAAACTAGTATTTATTCAATTTAATTTACTATTTCACGTGGATCCAGTTCATCATGAGAATATTGAAACTCTAATGATCCGCATACAAGACCCTTGAAAATGATTAAATACTTTATAATATATGTTTTTAAATCAAATTACTAAGAATAATTATTAGAGAACATAGTTATATAAATATCACATTTTGTTTTATATTTTTAATTATTTGTTGTCTGTATTTTTAATTAGTTTAAATAACTAAAGTACTGTACTGAAGAGGCAATACAAGCTATGCACTTTTATGGAAACTGCAACTGATTTTAGTTTTTACTTTATTGATGGTTTTAAAAATTTAAGATGTTGAAATTTTTGATCCAGGTTTCTAGAGCTGCAAATTGCTCTTCGGTTTACTTAATATAATAATAGTAAAAATTTAATTTATTGATCTCACATAGGAGAAA